ATTAATTTATCTTTTGGTTATAAAAGTATCACGAATGTAATCCAGTTTTACGGATCTTCAGCATTGTTGTTTGCTTTGTGTTTTTTTTTTTTTATCTTATTTTTGTTTTTTTACCAATATATTTAGCCACAGTTTATTAGAGTTTTATATGTCCATTCAGTGGAAGAAAATACAGAGAGCGAGAGAACAGAGATTATCGATTATAGAGTTTATAATCTGTATCACATATTATAAAGTTTATGAAGTACATGTAAAATATATAGATCTACTCAAGAATCTTAAAAACAGGAATTTCAGAACAGACAGACACTGGATCACCTGCTCTAAACCCAACACCATTCTTGGGGTATGGCTAAGTTGTGATAAAACATGTCATAATAATAGTGTTTTAAGGAATAGCAATAGCCTTATAATAAATTATGTTACCATTTACTATCTCCCATGCCATTCCAAACATTATTTATTTCTTCAGTAAAACACAACTGGAGAGCTTTTCAAAAATGTCCAAGCTTCTGTTTTTGATACCATCAAAGTTTATGGTCATTTATTCTGCCAAAAACCATTAGGACATAATGGCGCCATGAAAGTATCATATTAGTCCATATGATCAATACAATACAGAGTTCTGGCATGAAACTCTAGATGGCACAGTCCGATAGGTCTAACTCAACCTGACCTAAAGACATCATTATCACATGGCACAGCTGATTGGTTCTCTCCTGTGTCAGCAGCCAATGAGCTCGCTGCTCAACATTCAGATATATGACTAGTGCTTGCTGTAGCAGTTTGCAACGTGCTTCAGAAACCCTCCACCTTCCCCAGCTCCACCTGTATAGATCTGCTACGAGGTGATTAATGTATGCTATATGGGGTTATTTCATGTGTTATATTTGCAGCAGCAGTATTTCTTACATGCTCACAGCAGTATGTTGTGGATGTATTGGCAGTAGCAAGTCTCGGTACTTGCTCTGATGCATCAGCAGCGTAGCAGATCTATTCCTCCAAGACCAAACACATTAACGTTGTCATGTACATTACTATGCCAATCCCTCTGAGAGTAGTCACGACAGAAATATATTTCAAGTCTTCTGAAGCCATTCATGCCATAGCTCTCACATCTCATTTGCGATCAAGTGGACACAAAACAACCATCAGTGACTTTTACCTGAACTCAAGTGTGAATGACAGTTCTGAGCCCTAGCACTAAAATCAGAATATGTATCATGGTATGGATGAAAAATCCATACCACGGATCATGGTATTGGGAAGTAATGACATGGACTACTTTTTGAAGAATTCTGAAGCAGTATAAATCCACTTGTGCTTGTATACAAAAACACAAGATTGGACGTTGTTGAAATTTCTTAAACTACATGAGGGTGAGTAAATGATGTCAGAATTTTTATACATGCTCACAAATCCTGGATGAAATGCTAATTCCAGAAAACAGATCCTCCTTTTCATAGTCACATTCCAGGCACACGTTATCCTGAATGTGACCCTGCTACTCAGGTCGGTATCTATGCCTTTTTGGTGTACTTTCAGTTGAACTCATTCACATTGTATTAAAATGGGGATTTCACTCATTTCACTGTGTACGTAGAAACTCTTGGGACATATTTTTCTTAGTATCTTAATGGTAAAATAAGCAAAATTACATTGTTGGAGTGCTATTCCCCTTTGTGTAATAAACCACCATTGTACTGACTGGACAGTAAGGCGACTGATCACAGTTTTATCAATGCAAATTCTCACTCGATTGGGAGAGGGTATTGTGCTCATTATCTATGTATAGGTTTTCTTAACAGCTGACTCCTTTGTGAGTATTTTTGTCAAATGAAGACACTCTAGACTGTTAAAATATTTAATAGAAAAGTACTTTTTTAATATAACTTTTTTGTAGCGGTCTCATGAAAAATAATAAAAACAAATAAATCAACCAAAAGAAACGAAAACAACAGAGATGTGAAGGTATTACTAATTGCTATTTTGTTCTGTTAACATATTTGATATATCTGAAACTCAATCTACATTGGTAAGTTGCATATTTATTTTGTTATGTAAATCGTATTTATAATGCTATTTTCACAGAGAAGTGATTCTTTGTAAATTGTAAATAATGCTGTTTTTTTCTTGTGTTGAATGCATGTATGTTTCCATGAAAGAACACATTACAGTTATTTCAAAGAAACGTTCAGTATCGCCTTTTCATTTTTAGACACATTTAAAGCCCAAAGCCTCCCTGCCGACCTCATGGAGCTACTGAATTAGGAATCATGATACTTTAACATCAATCATCAATCATATTTTATATTCATAACATTACAGGACTATTTCTGTCAGGAATTGATTGGAGGGCCCACCAGATGTGGATTCAAGACTAGTATTGGGGATAATGCATTACAAGTAATGCAAGTTATGTAATCAGATTACTTTTTGCAAGTAACTAGTGAAGTAATACATTACTTTTTAATTTCAGAAAAAAAAATATTTGAGTTACTTTTTCAAATAAGTAATGCCAGTTACTTTGTTTTCCCATTTACTGACTGTCCCCATGTTGAGAGAAATTGGGAGTAAGTGCAGAGGAATTGTGTGTGCTTAGTTCTAGACTAAATGTGAACATGCATTAACTCATCTCACCTGCACAAAAACAGATTCAGTATTCCTCAAAATTACTACAAACAGTTAAATGCAAACTTAGAATATGACACAAACCTGCAATAATTAAATATGCTAAATAACACAAATATCCTTTATGGATTTAATCCCATTTTATTATCGAATTGCCTTTGTTGCTGACCTTCAATGACCCAATTCAACCATAATAAGCAAAAATGACTTTAGATAAACATAACATTTGTATTTATTTTTTTATTGCTGAAGAGTGTTGAACTTTCTTCTCCTTTGTCCTATTCTTAATGCAATGTGAGCACAGCTGAAAGCTTTGTTTTGAGCTGCGCTCTCTATTGTACAGATGTGAATTTACATTTCCTTTAGCCTGAGGCTTATTCATTTCACTTTTAGTGTGAAAGGACTTTTACATTTGCCAAAAATAGAACTTTTTATATTAAAAACAAAACAAGCAAGCCCGGCTCAGATTAAAAAGTAACGCAAAAGTAACGTAATACATTAACGAAGTAACTAAGTAATGTAATTAGTTACTTTTTAAGGGAGTAACACAATATTGTAATGCATTACTTTTAAAGGGGTGGTTGATTGCGATTTCACTTTTTCGAAGCAAAGCTGAAAAGCTGAAAGTTCAATGCAAACGGAGATATCGTCTTTTAAAATTCTGGTAGTTTAATGCCTACTAGGGCTGTGCAAAAAACGAATGCGATTTTCATGCGCATCTCGTCAGTAAAGCCGCTCCTGTGATTAGTAGTAAATCTCCAGCACGTGCGTTCAGATGGAGCGACATGTACTACACAGAGTCGTAGTTCACTGACAAGCTACACAAAATCGCGTTCAAAATCGGCAATGAATCGCCTGCGATTATAAACGCGATTTTGTGTAGCTTGTCAGTGAACTAGGCATCACAATATGGTAAGGGGTGTAACATTTCCGTCACATGTTTGAGGTATTCGGCCAAGCACTGGATAGCTGGCCAATCACAGCACACCTCGCTTTTCAGAACGACGAGCTTTGTAAAAATCAACGCGTTTCAGAAAGGCGTGGCATAGAGGAGAAACATTAATGTACAGTATTTGGAAAATAATGTTTTTTAACCTTAAACCGCATAAACACATTTCATTACAGCAAATACACAAAATAATGTTCTTTTTAAACAACGTCATATGACCCCTTTAATGAAAAGTCTATAACATACATTGGTTAAAATTTCTCAATGGTAGTGTAAAACAACACCCTTTTTACCTTGTCAAAAACAGCTCTTTTCACAGCAACTCGTTTTGTTGCATGCTGCTTTAAATGCAAATGAGCTCTGCAGACCCCACCCCTCTCTTCTGTGGGGTGACTAGCCGTTCTCTGAGAGACCGTAAACTTTAGCCGCATTTAGCCGCGAAACTCGCTAACTAGCACATTATTAGGAAAGGCGATTTGCAAAGATACATAACAAAACCTTATACTCACTTCTTCTGGAGGTGAAGCTGGATGACGAATGATTCGTGCAAACATACAGTAGATTCATTTAGGTAGATCGGGGGGCATTCCATTCAAAAATAAGCGTAATCCACTTGGTCTTAAGAGGCTCAGATGCCAGGAGTAAATGACAACTGCTATGTTCATTATTACATCCAACAACAAAACACCTCAGTCGCTAATGAGACATTCTTGTCTACACCTGCTCCGGCGTCGGAACAATGGAGGATTGTTGACAGCTCACTCAGGGCGGGTCTAAGGTAAAACGCCAGTGTCAGTCAACAATCGTGGGAGCGGCCTTGCCCTGTGTGACGTCACACAGCCAAGCATCTGAGAACGGCTTGATTTGAGAAAGGGGTTAAGATTTATGTGAATTATAAAAAAAACACTGGGTGGATTTTTATCATTATAGGGTGGATGTGTACACACACACACAGCCAACACACATTTATGTAAAAGTGAATTTTGCATCCGATGACTCCTTTAACAAAGTATGAAAAACTACTTCTTAATTTAAAAATAAAGACATTCAGAAACATTAGGTAATGTAAAAAAAAATAATCTAAATTATCACTAATGGGGAAAAAAAATGAATTACAAACTGACAAGCCATTTTTCATCTGCTCTTAATCTGGGGCCATTACATTGCACTTTTTCTTTGAGCCAGACAGATGTGCCAGGGCCTACACCTTGTAACTGTCCCTAAATAGCTCACACACATACACACACAGTTTGCAACCATATGAAACATGACTCCCTGCACTGTTGCTTGACGCGGACATTTGGATTCCCACCCCATTCCACAGTGGAATATAGGGCTCTATTTATAGAGCTGGTGGAGCCCGTGGCCCTGAGCTCGGCAGAACGCACTCATTAAATTCGCTTTCCCTAGTACACTTCAACTCAAAGCCCAGCACACGCCAGTGTGTGTGAGAGTGGAAACCGTGCTAGAGAGAGTAAGAGATCTAAGGTAATCAGTGTTAAAAGAAGAAGAAAGTTTAAAGAAATTGGGAACCTGATTCCATCGCATGTGGGATATTTACTGGATCTTGCTAATCTTGTTATGAAGAGACACTTTAGCTAAAGCAGCATCTTGAAGGTGACTTTCGACTTATGTGGAACTTTCAGTGGTCACGATCAACTGACAAACACCATAGAACAAGACCTGCGAGGACAAGGTGACTATGTAAAGACTCAAGCTGTAAGGTGTCCTAGAGAGCCATCGACTGGAATTTGGAACTTTATGTAAATAACAGCAATGATTTGAATTTAAAAGTCAATTATCTTATGGTCATTCTATTGCTTTTGCTACTGTTTGCTAGATAGACTTTTGTCTTCAAGTTCCTCTTCACTCACAGACAGAGAACATCCAGAGTTTTTACTGTAATCCGATCCTACACACTCTCCAGTAATTATAAAGCAGAGCTGGGAAGCAGTAAAGGAGATTTGTCATTAAGGCTGCCTAAATAAAGAGGCAGGCAAAGGGCGAGGTCTGTGGATTGGGCCGTGGAGGTGCAGCGACACTCATCTGATTCATCGAGATCCACCCAAAGCTTCCTATGGACCCCCAAGGAGGCCATTATCTAAACAAGGCAGCAGTACTGTCTGGAGTCGGCGCTGCCCGGATGTGCCAGCTGCTTCTGGGTTGCACCACCATGGCCTTGGTGGCCCACAGTGCAGGTTTCAGCGCCACCTACGGGACCTACTGCATGTTCGTCTGGTGCTTCTGCTTTGCCGTCACACTGGTGGTCTTCACTCTGGACGTGACGAGGCTACATGGGTGTATGCCCATCTCCTGGGACAACTTCACTGTGGCCTTCGCCATGTTGGCCACTCTCATGTACGTCACGGCCTCGATAGTCTACCCCGTCTACTTCCTCAGATCCGAGTGCCCATCCGAGGGCTGCGAGGTGCGCAACTATCGCATCGCCGTCACCGTCTGCTCCAGTGTCTGCTGCTTCGCTTATGGAGCCGAGGTGTTCATCACACGGGCCAAGCCGGGCCACGTGGTTGGCTACATGGCCACTGTGTCTGGGCTGCTCAAGGTGGTCCAAGCCTTCATAGCCTGCATCATCTTCGGCGCTCTGGCCAATGACAGTGAATACAACCGCCACATCCCTACTCAGTACTGCGTGGTGATCTACAGCCTGTGCTTCGCTGTAACCGTCGTGGTGGTGGCTCTGACCGTCTCGGGGAGAACGTCTTCGCTGCGCTTCCCTTTCGACCGCTTTGTGGTCATCTACACCTTCCTGGCTATGCTGCTGTATCTGAGTGCTGCTGTGGTCTGGCCGGTTTTTAGTTTTGATAAGAAGTATGGCACCCCGGGGCGACCAGAAGACTGTCCGAGAGGAAAGTGCCCATGGGACAGCAAGCTGGTGATTGCCGTGTTCACTTGTGCCAACCTGGTGCTGTACTTCACCGATCTGGTTTACTCTCAAAGAATACGATTTGTCTCGCATTCAGCTGCATAAGACCAGCTCATCTCCAGAACGGTGGACATATGAATACTGGAAATGAGGCATGAAAATTTTGTAACATACAGCCATGCCAATAAAATACAGCTGTGTGTATTTGTAGTACTTTAAAAATATTCTGGATTTTTGTAATTTTGTTGATTAGAATTAAATTGTTTAGACTTTCCAACTGCAATTCTAACTCCAATTGATTTTTTTCTTGGTGTTACTTAATAAAGTTGTTACTTTGCTTAGTAGAATGAAATCAAAGCAATTTTAGACTCTATTCCAATGTAAAATTGACTTCTGTGACAATACCTCTCCGCAATTCATTGACACTGTAAGTCTTAAAGGGATAGTTCACCCAAAAATGTAAATTCTGCCATTGTTTACTCACTTTTATGTCATTTTAAACTGACTTTATTTCTTCTGTAGAACACAAAGGAAGATATTCTGAAAATGCTGTCAGTTTTGGTGATTGTATTGGACAAAAAATGTATATTATGTTCTACAGAAATTTATAGAGTTTGGAGATGATATGAGGGTGAGTAAAAGATGACAGAAATTTCATTTTTTTGGTGAACTATCCCTTTAAGAATGCTTTTTTTTTTAAGTTGTGAATTAGAACAGTTGTTATATGGCTTACTATGAGTACAACTTAAAGTGTAATTTTTATAATTGAAGTATGCATATAATATTATAGGTTATATGTCACAACATCATCATCATTATTATTATTATTATTATTATTATTATTATTATTATTATTATTATTATTATTATTATTATTATTATTATTATTATTATTATTATTATTATTATTATTATTATTATTATTATTATTATTATTATTATTATTATTATTATTATTATTATTATTATTATTATTATTATTATTATTATTATTATTATTATTATTATTTGATTACTAATACAGTAATGCTTACATTTGGAAATGATAATTTCTAACACAGTCTGACTTTGTCAGCTGCTTATACAAACATGAGAGATCTGTGACCTCTGACTAGGAGAAGAGAATATAGCCTATCACTTGTTTATGTATTGTCCATAAATACTATTTTATTTTATTTTATTTTATTTTATTTTAGAAAGCAATCTCTGCATATCTGGACAATCTACTCAGACTCCAATAATAGTTTATATTTTTTTTTATTGTTATTATTTTTAATAGCATGTGACAATATATTGTTACTTATTTTCAATACATTTAAATAAATCAAAATATGTTGGTAATTAAACTGGATTCTTTTGTGCCCAGATCAGTTTCTTTCTCTTTCTCAACACTTTAAAAAACTAGCAAACAAAAATGACCAGGTACACAAATTAAGACACTTTTCTGTATGAATATGCCCACATGGCAAAAAAAGTGGCCAAAATATATTTCAAAATATATTGAAATGTATGCTATGTTGCAAACAGTGAAGCTCAATGATATATAATTTTGAAATAGAAAATATATTTAGTTTCATCCATCATATAGCAAAATATATTTCTAAATGTATTTCAGGGGGATGAAAAAAATACATTTCAGCAACCTACATTTAGGATAAACACAAATGTGGATGATCAAAGGTAGATTTAATAATGTTTAATATATTGCAATATTGCATTTTTTTTTTCGAGCATTTTAAATTATGTTCCTTGCTGAAGTTTATTCAAATGAGTTATGTGTTCACACGTGTTACACACAACAAATTGAGTTTTTGAATGCATTTTCTTGGACTGAAATATATAGAGGTCAAAGTAGATTTGTTTATATTATATATTTATACATTTAAAATATCTTTTCAAAAATATGGCCAAAAATAAATTGGTAGTAAAATGTATTTACGTAAATATATTTTGAAACATATTTGAGCAAAAATATATATTTTTAAATATATTTAAAAAAATATGTGGCTTTTTATTTATTTATTTTATTTATTATGATTTTTTTTTTTTTGGTAGTATAGGTGTGTGGATAGGTGTTTATAACCAACTTTATTATGAACATTTATAGAAGTTAGTTAATCTGACAACATTTTATTTGGGGTAGTAATAGTCTGTAATATCATTGTGGTAATAGATTATGTTTAGTTTCAACCAAAAACTATAGAATACCTTAAAGGGACTTTGGTTTCAACTGAAAACAACAGATCTATGGTAAATTAAATAAAAAAAAGTTAAACTAGTTAAATATAGGTGGAACAGAGAGCAAGAAAATAGTACTGAGGAATAAATACACATCAATAAAAAGTAAACATATCAAATATAAGGAATCTGGTAAATTTATCAGACAAGCGGATACAGTGTCGCTGTCTTTCTGTTGACACAAGCCCACGTGCTCACGCAACTGGCTTGTCTGACAGCTTAGCTGGCCAATCAAAACGCACGGTACATCCATGAAGTACAGCGATTGGCTGAGACTCAAGCAGTGCTCTACCGTGATTGGTCAAAGCCTTTTACTCCACTTCAGTAATGGCAGTATAACTAAACGTCCACGTACAACGTGAACACAACAAACAAACGTGAAATAGAGAAAATATAAGTACACCAGCTCTTCGAACGACAATATTTAAGGTACGCTTGTTAGGTAACTTTTAAACATTTAGTTTTCGGCATTTAGCTCATTGGCTCTGCTGCTTTACTGCTTTTTAATCCAATCAGGAAATAAACAGCAAGCAGACTCCGTCTTGATATTACCTCATCTTATCAGTGAATTGCCTTTAACTGATTGTTAACTTGTGTGTTTAGTCTGCTGGTGAATGCTGATCGGTGTGATTGTTATTGACAGGTCAAAATGAGCGTTGGGTTCATCGGAGCAGGTCAGTTGGCTCACGCGCTGGTGAAGGGCTTCACAGCAGCAGGTAAAGCAGCAGCAGCAGCAGCGCATTACACACAACAACCACTAGAGGAGCCAAAACACTACAACGAGCGAACAATCCAAATCACCCTACTTTATTAAAGGGGTCATATGATGCTGCTAAAAAGAACATTATTTTGTGTATTTGGTGTAATGAAATGTGTTTATGCGGTTTAAAGTTCAAAAAACACATTATTTTCCACATACTGTACATTATTGTTTCTCCTCTATGCCCCGCCTTTTTGAAACGTGTCGATTTTTACAAAGCTCATCGGTCTGAAAAAGCGAGGTGTGCTGTGATTGGCCAGCTATCCAATGTGTTGTGATTGGCCGAATACCTCAAGCGTGAGACGGAAATGTTACGCCCCTCAGATACTGTTGATGCCGTGTCCGACCGGAGCGACGAGACATAAACATTAAAACCCATTACAAACTAGGCCTCACCAAACATGCACTGATGCACATTAGTCAAAGTTTTTAAATGTAAAACCAGACTTTATTAAATAAGTACAATTTTGCACATTATATCGAGTAATATAGACAAAATAAAGGTAAATAGTAGTAGTAGTAATAATAATAATAATGTTTTTTTATTTTATGTGATCTCCATCTATCCATCTTGGTAGTGGGCAATTGTCAGAGCATTTTGTCAAAACGTTTTTTTTTTACTAAAATATTTAATAAAACATCATGCATATAAATAAACACACTTTACCCATTGTTTATGCCAATAAAACGCCAAAGAAAAATGATTTGAAAAAAATCGTTCTCAAAAGCAATATTATGAAAAAAGCAAGGCGTAAAATTAGGAGTAAAATGACATTTATTACATGTGCATGCAAAAGTGTCACTTAAAGGAAAACCTCAGAAAAATGCTAAACAATTCTAATGAAAGAAAAAGCGTGAAATAAAATCATTAAAATATGAAACATTAATGTAATAGTAAAACATATTTTGGCTGTATGGTGACATATAATACTATTTATACAACAGTTCGTTCTGGTTCTCAAATGTGATTGGTTGAGAACCGTGAGATATTGTACTGGTATCGTTACAGGAACGCCCTTTCACAATTTTGTATCACTCCGCTTGTTCTAGCCGGGTCTATGTAATCGTAGAGTACGTTAGTTAATATAAGATGAAACGTCTAGCTTTGCGGTCTCTCTCTCTCTCATTTGGATGCACGTCTTGCCGCATTGTTTCTCTCTTATAACCTCATTATTTCTCACTAATAACCTAACTGAAGCAGCACATGCCCTTGATACGAAATCTGAAAGTGACGTATGTTTAACTGTCAACTTGAGCTTTGAATCAGTGGAGGAAGGAAGTAGTTCCGCACAAAAGAGGGTTTTATTAGGCACTCCGTTGTTTCTTGTTTAATTACACGCGTTTCGTCGAACTGTTGTATAAACGCAATATCACTCTCGTACTTGAGCGATACTGGCTCTATAGCAGCGGCTGTGATTACCTCTGGCCTCGTGCCTCTGGCCTAATCACAGCCGCTGATATAGAGCCGGTATCGCTCTCGTACTCGAGTGATATTGCTCATATATGCTTGTACCTTTCCTTAAAGATAACATACACCCTAATCTATAATCTTATTCACAATGTTACTATGCACTCTCCTGTCTATCAGGTGTGATCGCCACACACAGGATAACTGCGAGCTCTCCAGACACAGACCTGCCAACTGTCATTGGGCTAAGAGTGAGTGTTTGACCAGCATCTGAGTCATATTAGACTAAACTATATTAGTTTGAAAGCAATATTCAAATACACTTTTGAACATTGTTAATGAGGTACTTTCTCTGTACTTCAGAAAATGGGAGCATACTTCACCACCAGTAATAAAGAGACTGTGAACAAGAGTGATGTTCTGTTCCTTGCGGTCAAGCCACATATCATTCCCTTCGTTTTGGATGAGATCGGGCCAGACATCGAAGACCGTCATCTCATTGTGTCCTGTGCAGCAGGAGTGACGATCAGCTCCATAGAGAAGGTCAGAATATACCTATTCCATGACACATAATTATATAATGATACCAGCCTTTGGTGGTTTGGTAAAACAAAGCATTCAGTTTAGGGGTATGGAGGACCAAAACAAAATAATAAATAGATGAGGAAATGTGAATGATAAATTAATGAAATTATATGCTAAACAAAATAAATGATAAATACGTAAATTAACGTATTTTTAATGTATTTATTGTTTACATTTTCTCATTATTTTTTCAGTTTTGGTAAGCACATA